GTTTCAACAGATGTTCCTATGAATTTTTGTGAAAAGGAACAAAATTATGTTTTATTTTGCAAATAAACTGATCATAAACTTTTGTGAAAAGATTTTTAAATTTATTTAGATGTCAGTTCCATTATATCAACCCTGTTTTAGGTTGGGATGGATGGGGCGGAGTCCCAGGGTGGGGTCTCACCGAGACAGAACACGGCCTCCCCGGAATTCCAGTCCCCCACCAGAGCCGTCTCCTCCGCCGAGGGCACCACCAAAAACGGAGAGAACATCAAACCACCAGAGGTCTGTAGTAGTTATCTGTCTTTATATTGTAAAAATTGGGCCTAATACAAAGTCCTAAAATTTCTGTAATGTCATATATTTCCATCGTTAATAAGGTTCAACAGTCAATATCGAACGTAACGGGAGGCGGATCTATAAGTGGTGGCGTTGAAGGAGGGACAACAAGTCGCCACGAGTCTACAAAAGGTGAATTTTTACTTGCATTGCATACTCTATAAACCAACGTTTTTTTGCCTGCGAGAAATATCCGCGAGTTTCGCGACCTAATGTAATTCACGAATATTAAAAATTTATCAGTGTGAACCATTTATTTTGCTTTATATTGTCAGAGAATGTTTCCTTATTCGCGAAAATTAATTGTCGCGGATTTCAAACTGACAAATTGCGAATAAAAGATGACGCGAATTATTGTTGATTTACAGTATGATATCGCATTAAACCTGGTACTTGCACATGTACAAAAATGCTAAATGTCTTTATTGTCGTAGATCTTGCGGGAGATGTGCAGAAAAGTAACTCCTTTTATAGTACTCACACCAACGCCACAGAGGACGGGGGTCTGATGCAGAGCTCCGTGTCTGCTGGGGGTCACACGATGGAGGGTCAGGAGATGGGGGATGAGGACGAGGAGGGGACAAAAGGTAAGACACGGCCCGTTATTCCGAGGATTTGATAGTATTAATTCATGGATTATTAGTACTGTATTTCAGAAGTTGAATAAAAACATAAAAAATTATTTTTGAGAAACAAGCACTATACTGTGTTTCACGGTAAATTGTAGGCTTCTAAAGTTATGCGAGTCATTCAGGTGATCTATGCAATCAATTTGCTTCTAGACCTCTGTTGATCGTAGGCTTTTTTCAGCTTCTCTTGAACAATTTCTTTGAATTAGGATATAAAATTTATGGGTAAAGTAAAACAAAACGTTGTTGTCGTTGTCGTTTAAACTTTTCACATTTTCACTTTTTCGCAAGAAATATGTATGCAAACTTGGCACAAAGTGTATGATTTCGAAGGGGACAAATTTTATCAAACATGTATTTTTAAATTTAATCATGAATTTGTTAAAAATTAAATTTTTAAAAAATCTTCTTCTCCAAACCGCTGGGCCAGGAAAGATGAAACTCATGTGGAAGCAACCTCAGGTGTTATTTATATTAGATCAAAGTTCCAGTTGGGGCCAAAATGGCTAACCCAAGTTTTACATAGGAATATATAGGAAAAATCAGGTCTTCTTCAAGAACCCTTTGTCATTTAAATGTAGTTTAATTTATATACACGAAATTTTTGGTTCATAGTTCCCCGGGGCTAGGTGGGGCCAAAATGGCCTACTTCCAATATAGGAATATATAGAAAAAAATCTTTAAAAATTTCTTCTCCAAACCACTGGGCCAGGAAAGATGAACTTGTGAAAGGATCATCCTCAGGTAGAGCAGATTGCATAATTTTGTATCTTAATGTGTACCCCCGTGAAGGGTGGGGCCAAAATGGTCGACCCTAGTTTTACATATATATAAGAAAAATCTTCTTCTCATAAACAACTAGGACAGGATGGATGTTAAAAGCATTGGAATCATCCTCAATTTTAGATATAGTTTGTTCAAAATATTTTAAAAATAAATTAAAATAATTTTTTTCATTGAATATATAGGAAAAATTTATTTTTTCTTCTGCAGAACCACTGGGCCAGGAAAGATGAAACTCATGTGGAATCATCCTCAGGTAGTTTAGATTCTTTGTTCACATCATGGTCCACATCTTCAAAATGTCCGGAAGTTTTGCATAGCTATATAGAAAAATCTTTAAAAATCTTCTTCTCCAGAACCACTGGGCCAGGAAAGATGAAACTCATGTGGAATCATCCTCAGGTAGAGCAGATTTAAGTTTGTTCAAATCATTACCCCCGGGGCAAGGGTGGGGCCAAAATGGTCGTTAATTATGTAGTTTTACATAGGAATATATAAAGAAAAATCTCTTCTCAAGAACCACTAGGACAGGAAAGTTGATACTCATGTGGAATCATCCTCAGGTAGTTTAGATTCTAGTTTGTTCAAATCATGATATACTGGGGCAAGGGTCTTGCCAAAATGGCCGACCAAGTTTTACATAGGAATATATAGGAAAAATCTTTAAAAATCTTCTTCTCCAGAACCACTGGGCCAGGAAAGATGAAACTCATGTGGAATCATCCTCAGGTAGTTTAGATTCAAGTTTGTTCAAATCATGGCCCCCGGGGCAAAGGTGGGGCCAAAATGGCCGTCCCAAGTTTTGCATAGGAATATATAGGAAAAATCTTTAAAAATCTTCTTCTCCAGAACCACTGGGCCAGGAAGAGGAGATTTAAGTTTGTTCAAATCATGACCCCCGGGGCTAGGGTGGGGCCAAAATGGCCGACCCAAGTTTTACATAGGGATATATAGGGAAACCTTTTAAAATCTTCTTTACAAGTACTTCAAAGCTATGATTAGTGATATTTATATGGAATCATCCTCAGGTAGTGTAGATTCTAGTTTGTTCAAATGATGAACGCCTGGTGGGTGGGAGTAAATTCAAGCCTGATGTGCTTAGGTGAGCGCTGTGGCCCCTGGGCCTCTTGTTGAACAATTTCTTTGAATTAGGATATAAAATAACTATATAGGTAAAGTAAAACAAAACTTTCTTGGCCTTTCTTCCTGTACTTTAAGCAAGAAATATGTATGCAATACGGCAGTGTATGATTTCGATGGGACAAATTTTATCAAACATGTATTTTTAAATTTATTCTTTGTGAAAAACAAATTCTAAGAGAAAAGCTGCATGAATACGGTTCTGACCACAGAGTCTTCGATCAACGAACTGTTATTTATATTAGATCAAAGTTCCAGTTGGGGCCCAAGTGGCCATAACCAAAGAAACGCAAGATATTCATGTCATCTTCAAGGCCCTTTGTCATTTAAATGTAGTTTAATTTATATACACGAAATTTTTGGTTCTCCTATAGTTCAGAGACCTCAAGTACAACTGACCTACTACCAATATCCGGTAGACGAAGAATTTCTCTAATCACTAGGCCTAATCGAACTTGTGAAAGGATATCATCTAGCATTGCATAATTTTTTATCTTAATGTGTATGTGAATTACATGAAATCTGTCCCCAAATTCTGTAGCATATATGCGCACTGATGCGATAAACAACTGCAGTATGGATGTTAAAAGCATTACAATCAAGAAACACTCAATTTTCTATAGTATGTACGATAAATATTTTAAAAATAAATTAAAATAATTTTTTTCCTTTGAATACGACGGTATTTATTTTTGTAGGAGGCGTTGCGATCGCAGAGCAGGAAGAAGAAGAGGAAGAAGAATTAGACGAAGCCACGCGGCAGTTTAACTTCTGGACACATCAGGTCCACATCTTCTTTGTGAGGAAGTTCTTCCCTGCTGCGGAAAAATCCTTACAACTCCGCCAACTTGTTGAGCGGAGGAATATGGAACTATCGAAGCAGAAGGCGGCGGCCACTCCGCCACGAAGGGAGAGTGTCAAAGTTAATTAAAGTAGCAGGACTGTACACGGTGTTTCTGAAATGATCCGTTATTTATGTTTGAATATATCAACAATTTATTCTGTTGAAAGGTTAATATAAAGAATCTGAATTAAAAATTACGAATTTCTTTTTTATGTTTTGAAGAGGGTTGCTCCTGTTTGGCATGCAGTTGAAATAATAGGCCGCAGTGGAAAGTCGAGGCTTTTTTCATCTTTACAAATGCACCTGTCTCCTGTACATACATGTACATGTATCTTGTATCATGTACTAACATTTTTGTTTGAATCGGGAAAACCATCATGGTCATACATCGTGCAAAGTTTGATGACTGACAAAAAACGTTTATCTAAAAATCGACCGAATATTTAGATATGCAGTGCAATGTGTTTGAACAATGGAAATAGTTGGAAATAGAGTTTTGTGTAAGAAAGTTTTCTTTTTAAGTAATGTATGTATAGGACGTTCGGTAGCTTTTCAAAGACAAAGTTCAATCTATACAGCTATTGTTGGGAAAGTAGTCCACCGATTGACTAAACTAGATGCACCAGTTTCTCTAAGCAAACATATACATTTGCTTGTTGTAATTGAAATCCACTTTCACGTTCTGCGATGAATTTGACTTATCACCAATGGACCGGCATCGGAAATGCAAAACGAGTTTCTTAAGTGGTAACACCTACACTTTCAGCAGAGTGTTTAACCTTAAACTTTGCGAATGAACACTTGTAATGAATATGTGAATGTGCACTCACATGCATGTATGCAAGAAACAAGTGATACAAAATTTATTCTTTTGAAAGAAATCACTGTCTAGTTTGTTGATTATGCAAGGGCAACGCCGATAGCTGGAAACGTGGAATAATTTGCATACCACGCTTCATGAAATACGCCAATGTAAAATGTCATAGTTCATGTCCTTATGAATTCTCAAAATTTAAATTAATTTCTTAAATAAAATTAAAATCTAGGTTAAAAAAATGTCGTCTAATAGATTTAAATTCTATGAGGTCTCCCGTGTCTATTTCAATAGTTCTCAAACACTGACGACACAAAGAGAGTCGCACGAGATTTACATACATATCAGGCCTCAGTTCTTGGCCGTTCGGTTGGCGAAATTTACATTTTGGTTGAATATTGTCGAGAAATCAACTCTCCTAACTTTCAAAGAGATATAACAGGAAAAACATAAATATTTTGCAAAACATCTATTTGGCAAATACCATGCACATCTTATCATGTAAATTGATGCATAAATAAGTTCAAAAATTACATATGACAAGTTACTAATGTCGATATATTTAATAACGTATATCAATATAATATTTAATGTTTGTATACAGCTTTTCTTATTTGGCACTTAATTTCAACCAGACTGCACTGTTTTAACCTTACCATGAAGAATACGAAAGACCTTAATTATATAAGAAGCAGTTGAACAACTTTAAGGTCATTCGTTGGAAACGAGATAGTCATAAAGAAAAAAAAGTGTATAAAATATGCAGTATAATAAATTTTCAGTTTTGTTAGAAACAAACATGTACATGTACATGTAATAAATAAATACCCCCTCAGTAGTGTCCAGCACAAGGAGGTAATGTATAAATACTAATATCACAAGTGATTGCATCCATGTCTGTTTTATTGCAAGTCCGTTGATATTCAAACGCAACTTATCCAAGAAACAAAAAAGAGGTGTCTTGATACGCAGTCATCCTCAAATTTCTTATCAGTAGGTCTTTGTGTAAATACAAACTTTTATAAAGCATTCGACACCATCATTAAAACAGGAAGTATGTATATGATTGGTCATTTCAGGAGCAAAAATCACGAATCTTGCTCTGAATGAAATGCATGTAAACACTACGGGTAACCACACATTTTTTTTCCGGGAATGCTTGAAAAACTTGACACAACATCCTTGAGACGCATGCGTGAGAAGTCGATTAGAGACGAACTTTTCGAAATCTAATGTCACTTGATTTCAGCATAATGATTTCCCTCATTGACATCAAGATTCATGTACACCTGTAAAGAAGGCACAATATATAAATAATGTATGCACAAAAGAAATGTTTGATACAATATGTAAATTCCAGGAAACTCACCTGACTATCGTCGAGCATGCGCTGTAAACGCAAAACAATGTCACTAAAATACGGACGAGCATCGGGGTTTTCATTCCAACACTGCAACATCATTGCGTACCTATAATGAAAAAACATTTTTTCAAAAAAAAGATACACACAGAAAGCTGAGATATTTGAACTGTAAGAAGAAGAAAAAAAATCACTCACAGAGCAGGTTCACAAGTTCTTGGTCTGCGCATGCGGAATCCTTGTTTGAGTAGATGACACATTTGGGCCGTGTCTATTCCGTGGTATGGAGTGCCACCTAGCGTGCAAACCTCCCAGAGCAGGACCCCAAAAGACCATCTGTAAATTGATAGCTATTGTTAAATATTAGGAATGATCAGTCCATCCCAGGACATTAGCTTTTTCAAATAACAGATTCTTTAAATTTTTGAAGTTCTAAAAGAATAAAAATTAACTATGATCTTTTGAATAACAAATCCAGTTTCATTAATTAGCACTTATTTGTTTCAAAATGTTCTATATTATGTGGGTCAATGCTACATATTCAGCTTACACGTCGCTTTGTGTCGTGTAGGTTGCATTAAATAACGATTCTGGTGCCAGCCATTTTACAGGAACTCGAGTCTGAAAGAAAACACAGTTACTTTTTCAAGACAAACTTCATCCAAATGTGAAATTACTGGACAGCTTGTAAAATACCCTTCTCTCTTATTACTATGAATTTTTCTATGATCATCGTAAAAAATAAATAAAAGGTTATATGAATTGTTTTCCCGGTAACTAAAATAAGTATATAGTATTTATTGTATATGACACAAATTCCTCGATAGATAATACACACATTGGAAGTTTTGACGTAGGTGTCGTCGTTTTTAGACAGTCCAAAATCTGCCACCTTGGCGATAAGATGCTCATCCAGGAGAACATTGCGTGCAGCCACATCTCTATGAATGATCTGTGAACAGGAAAAGAATACTGTACTTTAAATAGAGTTGGAAAAAGACAAAATTATTTTCTTTATTTACTTGGTATATGTGGGTAACTGATGATACCTGTCTGTCTGCAAGATGAGAGAGACCGGAGGCGACATCTAGTGCAAATTTCAGCAGGACTGATTTTTGTATGGGCGATATAACCTTTGCGTTTGCGTACAAATTATTTTTGCACCTTTTCATCTTTCTCAGATATGACCTCAGATCACCGTTCACACAGAACTCCATTGCAACAAACATAGTCCCTATGTGTAATAAAAAAAAAATGTAGGAGTTTTATTTAAAATAAAACTAGAGGGGATAACAAACTTGTTTGTATACTTTAATGCTTGCTTCATGATTTTGATTGTCTATAAATAACAAAATACTGACTTACTATATGCACAATTTCATGAATGAAAACATTGAAAAGAAAAGATACCTTGTATATGACAGGCACCGACCAGACACACCACATTTGGATGCTGGCCAACTTTCTTCAGAATATTTAATTCATTCATAAAATCGTTCTTATCTCTCTCCGAAGACGACTCTGAAAATATAAATGTCGAACATTACACAAAAGTCTCTAGGAACCATTATAACTGCTTTGCCTCACCATTGACATATTTCTCACCTTTTAGAGATTTTACCGCTACTGGTATTTTGTGATCTCTGTCTTGCTTGACGTAGCCCTTTTTAACCATTCCAAATTGTCCGTGTCCGAGTTTTTCATTGGTTATAATCAGATTATATTTGTTCAGTTCAAACGGGCCAGACAAGACCTGTTCATACAGATGTAGTTCTGGGCTTTGTAAACTTCTCTGCAAGATAGCAAGATGACAAAGATGAACCTAATTTTAAGCTAAAACGCAAGCCTTTATCAAGGTGCAGTAAAAAGCAACTCTGAAGATTGGATGCAATGAGTGGATGCTTTCAAGAGAACACCAGGAAAACTTCGGAGAAGTGTATTGTAAGCCCTACACTTAAGGACAGATGATACAAACAAAATATGGATGCCTGGATTGGTATATATTTTTTTACCTAATTTCATTGCAAATGATGCAAATAATAAATTTCTAGAATACATGTATAAAGAAATTGTAAACCTTCTGTAAAGTTCAAAATTCTACCCTCCTGAAACAATCCTTATTATTCTATACATGCCTGGATTGGTATATATTTTTTTACCTAATTTCATTGCAAATGATGCAAATCTTTAACTTCGAATATATGGTTTATTTGCAAAATTAAGAAATCTTACCGTTGATAACCTGTAAAAGCGACTAAACAGTCCATGTTTGTACCGCACACAAACGAAGTACATGACTGTGGCCGTGAATAACAAGAGGAGAACCACGATAACTGACACTAGTACTGACATCAATAAGCTGTGGGTCAACGGATTCCTGGCCTCGTCAGAATCTGAAACAATGCAAAACACATTAATCAGTATTTTTGTAAAAACACCTGTGTCCTTATATGACAGTTCATGGCAAAAGCTAAAAAAAGTTTCTATACGCTTTTTTAAAGTGACATGAGCCACTTAGATGTACACAAAGTGACATGAGCCACTTAAATGTACACAAAGGACATGCTCTACATACTTGTACAAAGTGACATAAGCTACATATCTGTACAAAGTGACATGAGCTACATACCTGTACAAAGTGACATGAGCTACATACCTGTACATTATGACATGAGATATTCACCTGTACAAAGTGACATGAGCTACACATCTGTACAAAGTGACATGAGCTACATACCTGTACATTATGACATGAGCTATTCACCTGTACAAAGTGACATGAGCTACATACCTGTACAGAATGACATGAACTACATACCTGTACAGAATGCTCCCCTGAAGCCCTCCACACAACCGTTGGTACAGGTACCGTTTTGTGGTTCACAGGCTTCCCCTTCAGAGCAGTGACCACACTTGTAACCACAAGCCAGCCCGTAAAATCCTTTTGGGCATCCTGTGGAGATGAAAAAAGATATAGAAAATCTTAATACATAATTAATGAAACAGACGTATTTTAACTTATTAAAAGTAATTCTATTAGTATGCTAGAAACTTTCACCTATCGATCTTGAATAGATATCCAGATTAATATTTCGAGGATTGTTTAAAGAAGGCAAAACTTTTAAATACATGTAGAAGTACAAATTTCTACATACAAGTATAATCTGTTAATTGATTGAATGTTATTCATCTGGATATACTTATATCGTTAGCATCTCTCTTTTAGCAGTCAGATTGAGTAGAAAACTGATTGTTAAATCTCTTTCACATCTTTCATTTGCAGTCATATTTCAATATCTCAAGGAGTAGTAAACTGATTTGGAATTGATTTGACCTTCGTCACACCGGGGGCCTCTCCACCCGCTGGAGCACCCCTTGGTACACATCCCTCCCCGGCTGGGGTCGCAGCTCTCCCCGTCATGACAATGGCCACAGGACAGACTGCAGTTAGGACCGTAAGTGTTGTTAGCGCACTCTACAATTCACGAAATGGAGTGAAACCTTAAAGTGCATATCGTTTTGATTTATCATGTTTAATTTGTTCCATTTGTCAAATAAATAAGAATACAATATGTCACTGTTATTGAGAAGTTCTGGAAACCTACATATTTCACACAAAGCTTTTCCCTGAGTTCTAGGAGATCGTGATGAAATGTTTACAAAACATGCATTTAGACGCCATAGCAGCTTAATTTGCTATAAACCAGATGGCACAAATATAGATAAGTCTTTTTTTCTTATTATTACAAATAATATTCTCTTTTGAAGGGTGCACGCTCAAAATTCAGAACTTTAATAAAATTGAAAGAATATGTATTTTTGTATAGGAAATGTAATATTATTATTATTATGATATTAATAAACAATGCCAAAAGGTTAAGGGACAAAAAACTCTAAGCGTAAGCATAAAACTTTGATATATAAATATTTAAATGAAGGTGTTATAATAATTAGTAGAAAAGTTGATTTGAAGTAAAACTTTGATATATAAATATTTAAATGAAGGTGTAATAATTAATAATTAGTAGAAAAGTTGATTTGAAGTTGTTTTAGAATTACTCTCTTAGTACTAAGTAACCCCAAACATAACTCACTGTCGGCGCAAATTGAACCAGTCCATCCCGGCTTGCATCCTGCTAAGCAATTTCCGGTCACATGGTCACAGGCACCATTTTGACACTTCCCGCAAATGCTTTTACAAATATGACCAAAGAAACCAAGTGGGCATCCTATCAAATAAGATTCAAAATATTCTCTGTTTTACAACCATTCATCAATTTATTCTGAAATTATATCTGCTTAATTCCAAAAACAATTCAACACTAAATGTAATTTGGAGCTTATATTTGATATTAACAGGTGTCTGATAAGCATAGTTGAGTGAAAAATTATGACATTCTGTCTCTCCCGGATCTTCAGAACTAAGAGGTTTAACATAAAGATCAAATTACAAAGAAATTCTCAAAGAGTTACAAGTGTTAGGCTCTTAAAATATCAATCAGAGCTATTAAAATAGTAATAGGGCGTTAACACAACCGAAATAATTTTCTCACTATAACCGAATTCATTCAACGAAAACAAACCAAAAATTATGGCGATAAAATTGTTTTTGCACATGGGGTGTTTTATTGGTTTATAATGACTGCCCTCTTTGCCCCTTCCGCAGTTCATGACGCCTCCTGAAGAATGTTATCTTCTTCACATAAAGATTGCATGATTTATCATTTACAAAATTGTCTTATTTTTTTATCTTCCTTCTTTATTACTTGTCAGAATCTTACTACGTACGTCGGTCACATTTTTCTCCGATCAAGCCCGGCTCGCATCCATCTGAGCAGTGACCCGTGACGGTGTCGCAGGATGACCCATTCCTACATTTTCCGCATGACATAGAACAGGCTATCCCATAGGACTGCGGAGGACATTCTGCATTGGAGAAAAAATACGTCGTAAACGAAGCAAAATTCCAGTAATATCAGTGACAAGAAAACATCGCATTTTTTTTAGCTCCTCTACACTCCTTCTTAAAAAATGTGAAACATTCAAATTTATCTTTTAAATCAGGATTTTTAAATTGCTTGAAGACTATACACTTAGATTATGTCTGTATTTAATATTTATATTTTAAAATTTATTGATTTTTCAATTTAGGAACTTGTTCAAAATATTGCAGGTATGATTTTAAAGCAAAAAACATGAAAATTCTGTTTTATTTTTAATCATTTTAAAAGGTACAAAAATGAGAGATTTTGATTAAATTGAGCCTGTTCTCAGTTTATTGACTTGAGCCTGTTCTGTTTATTGACTTAATGGGCCTGTTCTCAGTTTATTGACTTGAGCATGTTCTCAGTTTATTGGCTTGAGACCTGACCACACACTAGACTTTTCGCACCTAGATTACAGCGGTCCCCACTGTACCCCACTTCACACCCCTTACTGCAGTCTCCCGTCTCTCTGTTACAAGGATCCCCGGACTGACATTTTCCGCATATTCCAGAACAGTTGAAACCATAAGTAAAAGCCTTGCAAGCTGACAGAAGAAAATGAGCAAGTAATGAGAGCGTAAGCTATGCAATAAACGCTTTAAAACATGTCAACCTACAAGAAGGAGAAACAATTATATCCTTACGGTCTTTGCAGAGTTTCCCCGTCCACCCCGGGAGACACCCGTGCTCGCACATTCCAGTTTTCATGTCACAGGGCTTATCATCAAGGCAATGTCCGCAGTGCAGCTTACAGTTAGAACCATAGGTAAAAGGGTCACAGCCTAAAATAAGAACAAATGGTACATTTATTGAGGAATGACTTAACAGCTCAAATGAGTCAAAAGTACAAAAGCTCAATAGCGTCAGCGTAAGTCAATTTGTTTGCCTGTAGTCTGCCATGTGCCGAGCGTTGTTTGCAAGTGTTTTGTTTTTATTCAAGAACCAGTTGACCAATTTCATCCAAATGGCCACGGAGTTCATGTCAATCAAGATTGCCAAAAAGCACCCCGGGATAAAGTTTTTATCGACTGAAGTGCCTCGCCCTATTTCTACGAGGAATTATAAAAAAAATCTTGAAAATCTTTTCAACAACTATTTAAAAAAAAAGATGCTCTTAAATTTTCTTGAGAAGATTTTAAAATTAAACCGAAAGATTACAAAAGCTTCGATACATACATGTAGTGTAGATTCAAGTTCGTTCAAATTATAACCCCCGTGTCTTTTATTTGAAACAAAAATAGTTTCTGAAATTTGAACATAATTGCATGTAGTTTACAATAAAAAATTTGACTGCATGAGCCATGACTAGTTCGTAGTCTCGGAGCAATTGTAAATTCTGAAGCAAAACTTCAAAAATTCTTTCAAATCGAAAACAAGTCTTAAGTTTAGACAAGGGTATACAGGTATAAACAAAAAAAATAACCTCTACAAAGCTGGACCATGTTGATCATAGATTGATATTGTGTTTGGATTCAATTTTGTTTAAATCGTTTTAGTTCCCTTGGGTTGATCTGATTTGATCAGGAAGTCAATTTATGAAATTCAAAAGGGAATTTCAAAAAATCATCTGCTGTTGATCGAAGAATAGTAGGGATAAAATGACTCCAGCGAGCATTGTGACAATATTAATATTTTAACAAAAAAATTCTCACATGACCAAGATCTTTTTTAAAAATAAGAAAAAATGTTTCCTTCTCTATGTGATTTTAAGTATACGTGTATATACATATATTTGTCCTTACGTTCGTCACACCTGGCCCCCCGCCATCCTGGTCGGCACCCTCCCAGGCACCTCTCCGTCCGTGTGCACCCAGCCAGGCAGTTCTCTGGACAAGTGGTAGGACAGTTATCTCCAGGGATACAGGCTAGAATTGTTGAATATGATAAATACAGTAACATAAAGTTTGAATTCAAAAGAAGAGCTTGAACAAGACCAGTCTATTTTGTGCAACTTTTGTTTTAAATAGTACAATTCTCTGTTATCCTTGGTTTTTCAAGAGCAATGGTTTTTAGTTCAATTCTTCATTTCAGACACAAAAATATTTTCCAGTCAGAATGCTTGATATCTTTAATATGTCAAACGCAATGCTTTATATAAATCTTTATCTTTAAAAAAAATAACCACAAACAATTTCAGTTATTTCAAAGAAAAAATCAAAACAACAAACAGAAACAATTAAAGATCCTTAAAAAATCAAGAAGACGGTGAGCTAATGCTTGTTAGATACACCCCCTTTCTGATGGAAATTTAGTACGGACAGACGCACGGATAAATAGTAAATTGACATCGGATTCGTACATAAATGAATCCCATCTTATTGCATGCAAAAACAGTGTGCTAAAATTTAAGCACCTAAGAAAAGTAGTTGCCGAGAAAAAATGTTACGGACAGACATACAATGGTAAACGGTACACCACCATTTACTTCGGAGCTGGGGTATAATAACAAATAACTGGAATGCAGAAAATAAAGATCTAATTCTGTTCTGTCAAGGTTGTAGGATGGTAGAAAACACCAGGCCATTCAATCTGTCCCTAGTAGAACTTAACCATTTTACTTCTCAATTGAACTTTAGAACAATAACATCTTGAAGAAGCCATTTAACATGACATCTTGTCTGTTAAGCAGACAGTTACTTATCCTTAGATTTTACTTGAAGTGTTTTCCTTATTGAAAGCTTAGATTCATATTGACCTTCAGAAAAGGAGTTAAAATACTATATCACATTTAAGCAATAAACGTAAATAAATGGGAAAAAAAAAAACATTACAAATATCAGATCTAGAGCAATAATGAAAGGGCAGTTCGAAATAAAGGATTATTTTGTAAATCTTACATTTATGCCATTCATTTAATGAAGCGCATAAACATGTAGGGTCAGGATGTCGTGTACTTTTATTTGTGCACTCCCCCAATTCGTGTAAGGTTCATGTTATATATAATATTCAAAACAGATAGAGATATAAAGATAAGACTCCTATAGGAAACACTTGAGGACGTGTTGACACGTCAATTCTAGTCCAGACCTCTGTCGGCTGTTATTGGATAGTCTCACCGCGTGTCAATTTCCCGCATTTTATCTCTTAATATCTAAATAAAAACTTAGAGAAACACATAAAATACAAATCAAATTACACTACAGTCCAATTTGTAGTACTTAATTATTAAAGCAGTGTTGAGACGTAAACAAACCAGCTCAACTCAGATCAGCTAGTTTCGTTGCAATTTGCAAAGTGGTGTTAAGTGATTGACTGATTAATTGTATATTTTTTAACGTCCTCTCGATAATTTTTCACTCATATGTTGGAGTGGTTTCATGGCTAAAATAGCAAAAGATGCCTGTTCGAATCCCAGAGTACGTGATCATTTTGTCGGACGATGCATTTACTGTTTTTTCAGTAGTTTACCGCTGAGCCTAGCCTAACACATTAAACGATACTCGGCAAGTACCAAGTACATGTATTAATATTGAAAGGTGTGGACATTGCAGTTTTGAAGGCACAAATGTGATATTCATTATTGAATTTTTATAGACAGCACGCATAAAATTGAGTTTTTCAAAAATGTTAATATATTTAATAAAGCTGATTTCAAAATAAAATTAATAAAACACTTATAAAAATGCTAGCTTTGACATTTTGCATAATCCCACAAATACATTCATTTGTTCTTGCACGCTTCTTGCACTTTTGCTTTTTTTCAGACTTGCTGTTTTATGAGGGTCCGATTAGGTATTTACTGCGATTAATTGATACCACCTATTTGAATTGTGATAACATCTATTCAATTGATGATAGGCCTATCACCTATTCAGCTTTTGAACAACTGATATCAACCATTCGAATATGTTCAAATAATTTGTTTGCTGATATCACCTATTTTATTAGAATGTATAATACAATCTCAAATAGACTATTTCAAATGGTGAGATCACCTAATCCAATATAAAGTAATATCACCTGTTGGAAAGGTAAAATAATTTATTCAATTTCAAAAAGCGACATCACCTATTCGAATTAGATGGTATTCAAAATTTACTAGATTACTTAATGGCAATTATTACCAAAAACAGCATCTTATATTGGTTTGTACATTCTATGCTGTTTGACATTAACTTTTCCCTTCCTGTGCAATTTATCATGCATTTTTTTTTTCAATTTCACATTATCACGCATAATATACATCATGTAAAATTGAAATAAAAAAACTGCATGTAGTTAATTGCTTGATTTTCGTCAAGGCGATTGTTCTCACCAACTCCTCTTAAATTCGTCGCAAAATGCACCGGTTGCCTGCTTACAATCATGTTGTTTTAAAACAGAGCTATAGGGTTTGACGTGAACGTCCACACAATGCATACGACCTTGTTTTGAGTAATGCAAAAGACATCACATTTCCTGATTATATAGCTCGATAACAAGGCATTGTGTTGCACGTTCAGCTCTTTTATCAAAAAAGTTCAAATACCCCAACGTTTGCGATCAATGTGATTGTTAAAAGTAATGAATTGACACAGAGGAAATAAAACAGTAGAGTTGTGCTCATTAGTACTGTGGACTAAGCGTCTACTTCCTCCATTTTGTATCATAATTATAAAATAAGAACCCGACCCTATAAACCGAATACCTTGCTGCCTGTTTTTCGCAAAGCACGATGCAATGGTGAGAAGTCTTGTATATTTCTCACCTCAGGCGGACGAAATACTTGCTTTAATGATTTGGGAAGAAGTTGCCGATGCTATCAAGTGATTATTTTAGAGTACAAACACATCGTTTGACGATCGGAAAGCTCTGTCATCTTCAGACAACGGTCTTGCTTATTTGTTTATAATTAGAAAACCCTTCAAAAACGGAAATTATTAAATGTGACACGATGTTCCTGCTTTTTCAGATTACAACTAACTTATGTTTACTTTTTATACATGTAAAAATCAAATACTGGCATACAATAGTGTTTTAACAAAGAGTGAAGTAAAACAGAACACAATGCGCTTTTTGGTATCGAATTCAGCAAGGCGTTGTGAGTAAAATAACGCGTAATTATCTCAGAGACAACAAATAAATCCTGAGTCAAGTAGCTATTGTTACCAAAGATGTTATCGTTTTTGCTGTTGCAACAATGAACAACGCCTAAATTTATTGCTTCTTCAAGAGGGTTGTTTTCAGACACTCTCCTGGTCATTTTGACCAGAAATATCGACACTAGCACATAGAAGAGTCAATTTACTCCAAGCCCATGTAAAATACTGTATTACAAGTTAAGTTTTTTTAATACAATCATGAATGAAACATATGGAGATAACGAATAGTATTAAAGATCAAAAGTCCATAAAACAATACAAAATAGGAGCAGAGCAAACACGGACCTCTAAAACATCAGAGGTGGGATCAGGTGCCATGGAGGAGTAAGCATCCCCTGCCGACCGGTCACTCCCGCCGTGTGCTCCCTGTCTCAATAGTCTCGTTTAAAGTCATCATTTCGTAAATTCTATGGTCGATACAATGACTGTCAGCAAATATTTATTGAATCAAACGCTGACTGACGTTTTCATACTAAATGTTAGTCCATTATTTATACACTTAATTGACGACCGCGGATTTCCCATTATTTCCCGATATGCTGATATTCTTGTTTCATCAACTCGACATAAGAATGGAAATAACACTTGTTAATCGACAATAGATCGTCGATATATCTAAATGTCGCGTTGAGACCACAGCAAGTGTTTTCTTCTTTGCACGCATAAGATTTTGCTCAAATTCTGCTTCATATGAATATAGAAACAGGTCTGCTAATAACATTTTTAAGCTATTGATTTTGGTAAAATCTTGTGATTTCAAATTGTTCAAAGGTTCTTTGGAATTTTTAAGTTTCCACATCTGATTTACACCACTTTTTGTATATATTGTACACAGTACTCTTGAAGTTTCTCCTTCACTACTGTTAAATTCTGTTAGAAAAAGTTTGAATGTGAAGATAACGAAAAAAATGTAATAAAAATCAAAAGTCTAACTTCTTTACACTGCATGAGCGGAGCAAACACGGACCACTGGAAACGTCAGGGTTGGGATCATGTGACTGAAGAACTTCTACTTTGGCAATAACTATGAACAATTAGTGCTTAGGTTTTTATTTTCACTTATTCTTATTAATTGTGACAAGACCTTCCTCTTGGGTACTACATATATTAATCAATTATGACCCTTTAACCGTACCTATATTTAAAAAAAAATACTTTGGCCATTACTTTTGAACGGCAGAGGTTATAGGCTTTCATTTTCCACTGTATATTCGTTTTCATAAGTCCTTTCTATGGGAAATAACATTTTGATCTCTTGACCTTGAAGTTTGACTTGCATTTGGGAAACTAAACTTCAACCTCCGCTGTTAGTTGCCATACAGGGACATCAGTGTTTCACAAACACATTTTTGGGGGAGGCAGAATTTATTTTTTGAAAAAACAATTGCATGAAAAAGAAGTATCTTGTGATAGCCTAGAATTTGACACTCAGATACAATGACAACGTTCTATCATTCAGACTTTGATTCGAAAAATCCAATTGACCTCTAAAGTCAAGGTCAAAATTGTTGGTATTCAAATGGAGCTCATTTCACAAAAATTAACCTCTAAAATCCTTAGTGCTTAATGTTCAAGAGTAATGACCAAGGTGCAATTTTTTAAAAACTTTGTTCAAACTTTTTTCAAAGTCAAAAAAAAATCTATACATTAGGAAAGGTCTTGTCACATCAAATACACATGTGAAATATGAAAACCCAAACACCAACTTGTTTAAAAGTTAAGTGACAAAAAGGGTTACGACTTCTAAGAATTTTTTTTTAAAGAATTAACATTCTATGAAGTACTTTTGTTTCTTCGTTTTTTTTTGGTTCTGTTTTGCTAGTTTATTTTTCTTTTTTGGGTTTCATATATCTATAATCGTGTTAAAGTCATAGTTGCATGCACTTTCTTGCTTATAATAGTTCGGCTTCAACTTCAAAAAGGTAGATGGTTGAATGATATTAAGACATTTAATAAATGTGTCAGTGATATGGTGTTAAAACCATTAAAAAATATCTTAACTTAAATTGATATTTTGATATTAATACTAATTATAAATTTGTCTACGTAAATACGAGTGAACAATCCTTGCATCTGTTTGCTATAACATCTCGGACAGCGTGTAAACGCCTGACGAGCGAGCTAAAAGTAGGGACGTGTAATCAGGGATACGTTGATAACAATATCATCTGGTTACAGCTTAACACGGCAACGTGCAATCTGTCTCTTCGTCATCGCTATATAATAAGGAACCCACGAGGAAAGATATTGGTGCAGCTTTGTGATCAAGTAATTTATTTTTAATGAATATTCTTACTGAGAACGTTCTACTTGATAATTTTAGTTTACAATTTCAATAATGGTAAATTCTATTCAGGATAAAAGAAATGGTAGAAATTTAAAAGTGAAATGTTGGTTACCATTTTATTTGAGGTAAATGAATTCCAAAAAAATCAGATTTTTTTTTTTGTATAAAAACTAACTATCCAAGCAAACATGTTTCTGTAAACCGTTAGAGAGAACTCATAAAATTACACCCCAGACTGCAACTTTTGAACTTGCAACAATGACCCCACCAATGTTTCTCCATCAAAAATTATTTTTAACCTCTTCCAGTGACCTTAATCTTGCCACAGTGACCTTGGATCAATTAAGTTAGGAACCGTTTGTTTAACTTTGCAGTTTCAACTTCTATTAATTATCTAATAGAGAAAAAATGAACAAGACACTATACTTTTCCTGCAAGTGATAATGATAAGGACAAGAATTACACCTGTTAGTTGTTTGCAAAAGTGATGTTGAACTTGTTCAAGTGACACTTGGCCAAGGACATGATGATTTCAGGTCATTAGGTACGATCTTCCAACACTTCTCCATTGGGAAGTTGCAGACCGGACACGAATTTTAAACTTTTTTGCCTTAATAATAAGCTTAAATACAATTTTTTGTGACAACTGTTAGCTTTCAATTTCGTAGGTTCGAACCCCTGCCGCAGTTGACCTAATTCGATAAACCAAAAGTCTGATGAGACAGTAGCTTTCCTTGTTTTTACTTGACAAAGTATGGAAAGATTTGCATTACTTCAAGCTATAGCGAAAGCTAAAATTAATAGAATTTCACAGAACAATAGAAACACTTTAACTATATCAAAAACCGATATACAGAATTATGAATCTTAACGTAGTCTAAAGTCTTCATTTACATGCTTCAATACTAAAATCGGACTAAACTTGAGGCAGAATTTTCTATTTCTAATTACCATGGCAACATTGCTCATAGAACTTAAATACCGATATGTAGAATTATGTATGTTAGTGTATTTTATATTTTTCCAAGTTATTTAAGAAATGAATTTATTTTTTGAAGATTCATGAGGTTATGAACTAAATTTTATATTTTTCGCTGGCATACAGAATTATGTATGTTAGTGTATTTTATATTGTTCCAAGTTATACTGAAATGAAACGGAAACTGTATGACTAGTAGCGTTGTGAAAGAATTTCATAGAAATTTCTATTTTTAGTAAGCATGAAAATCATCCTTTATCGAAATCAAGGACCGATAAAAAGAACTGTGTATCTTAATGTCATTCACTTGTGTACAGAGATATATTGAAATCGTATCAAGACTGTAGAAGTAGTAACATTTTGTAAAATTGTTGACAGACAAAAAGCGTAATAGGTGCTGGCACAGGAAGACCCTCACTGCTCAAAGACCTTAATTAGGCCTGGAATTGACCCCCCCCCCCCCTGACAAGATGTTACCTCTGAATATGAGAGAAAATACTCGAAGGAACATTCAACTCTTTACAACTTACTGAACTATTATGCTATATACATGTTTGTCGTCGGCAATATGTAAACCCCCTCCCTTTGCCAATAAAGTATTTGTATTTGTATTTGTATTTGTATCCCACTTGTGTAAGATATATTGAAATGCCGAGAGACAGACAAAAAGATAGAAAACGATATTTTTTTTCTCTGATATTTTTTAGGTCCACGTTGCTCTTCTCCAAATTTTGTATTGTTTATGGACTTTTGAGCTTAAATACTGTTTGTTATCTGCATATATTTCATTGTGAATGACACATAAAAACTAGTTGAATATTAAAAGTAGCAAAGATTATTAATGGTATGAATTAAGATAACTAGCAGTGAACAAACTTGATAAACCTACAAACAAACAAAAAACTATGAACAGGACAAAAGACACGGACCCCTGGGAATTCCAGAGGATGAATTGTGTACCTTGGAGGAATATAAGCATATCCTGTCGACCAGTCACAGGTACTGTATTGTTTAGCTACATCCCGTCAAATTTAAATTGAACAATTGGTATAAAATATTTCTGAGATCAGTTGTGTTTGCTAACATGGTTATGATATGGACCAGAGAATCAACTAAATGTTGACTTCAAACAAAGCTGTGGAAATCCACGTATCAACAACTTATTTATCGGTACCCTGCCTCGGTTAAAAATCGATCGCACTAAGAGCAAGCTTTTGAGCATTGAACAAATACAACATGTAGGTGTCATAGTGGAATAATAATACCCAGTAATACACACATGTAAATTAGGAATGATAGAAAATTTAACGTTATTTCGTTTATCATACAGTTAGCATTTAAAAATTGTTGGTTTTCTTTTATCCTCTATAGTAAAAAAAAACCCATCTAAATACGACTTTGCTCCAAAAAATACATAAAGTGTATTAACAAAAACATAACCTATCATAAAAACTAAGGGTAATTTATCGAATACTAAAGAAATTTTTAGCACGGATTGTTTTCTTACAATTTCTGGGAGTGAAAAGCTATTTTAGTATAAAAACACTTTCGAGATCAAACTATAAAGAACAGGAAAACACCAAGGAATTGACCCTTTAACTTTCCAGCCCCCAGTGTGGTTTCCGCTGTCACTTACTTTGACTGTTTGTTGTCGTGACCAATACAAGTTTATTTAAAAGAGGTACTCCAGAACTTTTTTTTAACAAAGACAATTACAGCTTAGCACCATGTCAATTAAAACAGAAAGTATGGCGAACTGAAGAGTTCAATCAATGATTGCAACCTATTCTGAGAATGTAACTTCCAATAAGTAATTTAGATGAGCAGAATATCTCAATATCATAGGCGGATAAAGATGGGAAATGAATATAAATTTGAATGACTGAATATTAAATTCAACTTGCGAGCTAAGTAATTATTAATGGCAAGGTTCTAATTACTATTCAGTATGACATTTTTAACTTTTTTTCCAAAAGGTTTTTTTTTTCCTGTTTTAAAGAATGCGGTATCCATGGGGATTGAATCTAATCGATAAACATTCAATGTGACAAGTATTTTTTTTTTAACCAAACCACAGGTAGTGACATTAAAAACTTGCTTATGAAAGGACTCGAGTAATTTTTCGAAAAGATACGCATATACGTGTTTTGGAAATGTATAACAATATAACTACCTGAAAAGTATAGTCGGTCTCAAGTCCATGATTTTGTTAAACCAAACCTTTTCTTAGGAATACCGGGATATTTGTATTTCAGAACAATAACTGATTCATAAAGCAAACGTGTTATAGGATATGAAAAAAATAATACATATAAAATTTTAGCCAACTGTGTAGACTTTATATGAAGTGTTTATTTAGATTACTGAAAATTTACTGTGATTGAAATTTATTTTATTTTTATTTATTTTCTGAAAGGGGGGGGGGGGTGGTTGTCGAACTATATATATAATAAATACAAACCAACATTAAGATAATTAAGTTAAATCATATCTATAAATAAAAAAATTATATATATTTATATTTCAACACTTCCTTAATTAACTAAATGATCTACACATCAACAGTATTTAATTTACTGAGGAAAAACTTGGACTTCACAGAAAAAAAGGTACAAAAAGTTCATTAGAACATATACAAAATAATTGAATTGAAAATTAATTCATTCTTAATAATAAATTAGTTAAAATTTGATTCTGTATCTGAATGGTTTGATGACATGCAGCCGTGAAAAGAAAAAAAAATTACCTGACAAGACCGACTTGGTATAATCCAGATATAAAATAATGAAGATGACAGATGAAAAGTGCAGAAATGTTTTTGGTAAATCCATATCACTAATAAATTAAAATAAATAAATAAAATATAGATACAATGTCTATTTGATTTAGCACAGTTTTGTGAATGCGCAAAATTCAGCCAAGCGAGTATATAAAAGCCCTCATCCTTAGGTCTAGTGACACGAGTGCTACCAAACAATTTAAGGCTCTTGAGACTTGTCGAAATGATGTCAGACTCGAGAGCTGCCTCTTTCAAATTTTAATATATTTTTAAAATTTTGGCTGTGTGTACATATCTCGTGTCGGCGCTTGCGTGGAACATTGGACGCAAAACGCTTTGGAGCTGATAACAGGACAGGACCTCAATTAAAGAATTGCTGCAGATAATGTTAAACGCCACAAGAGTTGATTGTAAGCTCTGAAGAGATGGTTCTATCTTTGGTGTTAGGGGTATGGCTTGTATCTAATTTTTCTTTGAACTCAGGAATGGAATAAAATTCGGTCAACGGGAAATAAAATGTAAAGTATAAGATACGTTTTTCTTTCGTATAGATTTTATTGTGGTAGTGTAGGTGAATCAATGCAAGGTCCTCTTCAGGAATTTTCTGAAATAAAATTGAAAATTATTATCGATAATAAATCACAAATATTAAAAGATTCACAAGTGCATGAAGTTTAATCTTTGTTTCTATTTTATATGATTTATTCCATATTAAATAATTGAAAGAAAATCACATCTCACAGATGTCTTCTTTAGAGTTTTACGCAGTTTCCAAAATAATCTTGGCAAAGGACCGCCCTGGGCGGGCATCAGTATTTTACAAACAATTTAAACAATTTAATACTATTATCTGATTAAGATTGGAAACGCCTTTAAATTAATAGAATCAATAAATCATTTTCCCAAATTTACGAGTTTTTCTATCGAGTATCCTTATTATGAGATACTTGTATTTGAAAGATACAATCCAAAATTATTGGTAACTTTATTTCAAAATGTCACTTACTGCAGAATGGATTTTGCCCGTTTGTTATTAAGTAATAACTGCCTCGCCTGGAACTGTATTTTATGGCATCATCGCCCATCACAGGACAAGGAGAATCCCCGCAGACATTGCAGGTGCCCTTCACAAAATCGTTGTAGGTATCGCAGGGGTAAGCAGTGAATTGACAATTGGGTTCTTTGACAAGAGATTCCGCAAAATAAAAGTACGATCGAGAATGACTGCATGAGATTGATGTGAATGCGGCTGAGAAAAAAATAAAACAGTTCACAATCCAAGGACAGACAGCGGGGAATGGTTGATAAGAAATACTTGTAAAATTAACAAACACTCTCAATAAACTTGCATATACTGCGGTGTGATAATTTTTATCGGAAAATAAAAATCAGGAAAATCAAAATATTGTAAATTTACTTGTCGGTGCACGTGGCAAATACCCTAACAATTTTCTTAAATAAATTTTAAAACGATATCAGCAAATCAATGTAACAAATTACTTTTTTTCGTCACAATGTGACTCGAGCAAACGACCTATTCACAAGAAGTTAAAATACATAAAAAACAAATTTCTGAATGGATTTTGAAAAGCCTGGCTATATAAATCAGTGCCCACATGAATTTTAGAGATATGAGGAAACAGAAAAAATAATTTTAACAAGGTTTTCCATGTCCGTCAAAATCGAAATTTGACATTATACAAGCACGATTTCTGATAACCATGACTTCAAAAACGTTTAAGACATTTATTGAAATTATTTTTCGCACCCAAAAAGCACTAACCAGTGAATCTTAAGGACAGAAGATCCTCCAGGCTGGTTTTATAAGGTGGTGGACAGCCTGGCTGATGACCCCCGCCATTGGGGAAGAAGTCAATGTGTCCACATGGCTTCCTTGTTCCTACTCCTGTAATTTGGAAGATATTTGAGATACAAAATCAGAATATTAGAAAAAAAAAAAAACTTAACTCGTTTATTAATCAATGAAAGAAGTCTATAAACCCTGCTACATACGTCCAGTAAAATTTCTTCATTTGTACCTGCATCTTCGATTGGAAGTGCATCAGAATGAATAACGTCTACAAATTTTGCGTCGCTAGGATCCAACCGAACCTCCTCAGCATAGCGCTCAAACAATGGTCCCGCCGGGTCCAGTCCTTAAGATTAAGTTAAATAATATTATATATATACAGAAATAAACAAACAAAAACAGATGTTCCGTATGAATATGATTGCAATTAACCATCATTCATGTTACAAAGGTTGAAAAATTCAGTAAAAAAGCACGCCCAACTAAATGACGTTTTAATATCTTCTTTAGAACCTGTGATTCTGCCGAGGTTTGGTGTACGTTGTCCTATATAACCGGAAGTTTGAGCACCGAGACTGTGACCGATAACATGGACGTTCTCCATTTTGGCTCCGTGTTTTTCTCGAATCATTTCCAAAAACTTTGCCACCGCTGCTCCAACCACTCGTGTATTGGCGGCAGAGGCCGGGTAAACCTTGTTGGCACCGTTCCTCCATTGAACGGTTACAACGTTACAGTCTTCCTGAAAAGGATCATCTAAAGTGTCATGAATATTACAGTGTACGAGTATTTACGCAATCTTCGAAAACTTGTTGTGTAATTGAGCACTTCTTGGATTGTTGAGTGTGATCGGTCGACAGCGGATGCTTACTTCACCATGGCGCCTGATCCTATCTCTGGTCTACGTTTGCTATACTCCCGATCGATCTGTATTGTTCGCTCGAACACTGCTCGTTATTACGAATTTTCACATAACAAAATAATTTTAACATAGATGTAATGTAATTCTATTATTACATTACCACAACATTTACAGAGAAGCTCTGTGAAATGACACATGTATAGGGCTCAAAATTCCGTTTATGAAATTCTTGAATTGTACACAAAGAAATATATATGGAGATAACGAATAGTATTCAAGCTCAAAGGCCCATTCAAATAATACAAATCAGAAGAGCAAACATTAGCCACTAAAAAACCAAAGGTGGCATCAAGTGCCATGGAGGAGTGCTCCTTGTTATGATCGGGATGTGCTCCGTGTTATGACTGAAAAATAATGGAAGAAAAAATCGTCGACAATTCAGGGTGTAAATAATGGTAAAACAATTATTATGAAAATGTCAGTCAGTATTTGAGATGATAGATTTGTTGGTAAAGTCATTGTATCGCCCATAGAACTTACGAAAATAATGACTCTAAAACTACATTGTTAATTTTCTTATCTCAACTATTTTGTCAAAAACTATCCTTTATAGTTTGAGAAATTGTTCATGCGTAAAATATACTCTTGCGTATTGAATCAACTGAGAGATTTTAACGCTGTATGCAGGTGATTTAGACCGTAATGTTAAGTGTGTGTATTATATGCGTCCAGATTAACAATGATCTACTGTAAATGTTTATTAGGTATAAATGTTTTAAGCAAGCATACCTTTTTCAAAAACAGTTGTGAAATATTTTGAACCCATGGTTCATTTGCGTTGCTCATGTAGCCATGTATGATGATTTTAGTTGGATTATTGGAGTTGAAACTGGACTTAGACACGGAGGCAGTGTCATTGTATCCTATCCTTACACCATTCCTCGAGCTTGTTCTTGTAAAGAGAGTCAAACTAAACTGTATGGACTCCGGTGATTGCGGAAGATATCCTAAGGTATTGTCGAAAGGATCATCAATGGCAAAACAACCAAGGTCTCCATAACAAACCTTCTTTTGTTCATCCAAGAAAAACCCTTAAAACATTTTACGAATATTAAGACTACTTTTAAACAATAATATGAAAAATGCATACACTGTACTTCTTCTAACGTGAAAAAAGGCATATAACAGAAATACAAACTACAAAAAGGGATATAAACTACAGGATCGGGATGAAGAATATACTCAATATCAATAACAAATTAAAAACTATATGAAAGATATGGAGATAACGAACATCACCCAAAATCAAAGTCCATAAACCAATAAAAAAGAGGAGCAGAGCAAACACAGACCCCCAAAACATCAGAGGTGGGATCAGATGCCATGGAGGAGTGAGCATCCCCTGCCGACCGGTCACACCCGCCGTGTGCTCCGTCATTATCGGGAAATAACGGAACATCTGTCGTCAATAATGGACTAACAATTAGTATGAAAAACATCAGTCAGAATTTGACTCAATGATAAATTGTATTTGCTGACAAGGTTATTGTATTGACCATAGAGTTTACGAAATTATGACTTTAAACGAGACTGCTCTTGCGTATCGAATCAACTGATATACATAACTCCGTATGTAGGTGATGAAGGTATATTGCTGCATAAGTAAGGGATGTTGATGATAGAAAAGTTAAAGTCATCACGTTTATCATAGATCATGGTTGTTAGATTACCTACGTATTTTTCAAGTAAAATATCCAAGTATGAAACAGATGTGTTTTCAAAAAGTCTTTGAAACTAGGCCTTTGTACTCTTTAAAGTACATTGTACGTTGATAAGAATATAATAAATGCTATCCCACTGACTTCATTAGGTTGATGATTAAATCATTCTATCACTTACTTATAAACCGGGTGTAAAAATACTTTTATTATATAGGGAAAATAACTATTCAGCTTACCAAATGAATGTCCGAGGGTAACACTGAGCACTATAAACCCTAAAGCCTGCATAGCTGCGGTCTTTAAAATTGTGACCCAAAAGTGAAAGATAAGGAATCACTAACTGTACAGACACTGCTCGAAGCATTTATCATATGAAAACATCGTGTGTGTTGTAATTTTCAAAGTTTGATTATTGCTGCAGAATTTACTTATTAGCTACGAAACTTCCCGTCTGCATAATGCAAATTCCATAACCAATTTCTTTAGTATGTCAGTCAAAACAATATTACTCTCTCTTTTCCAAGCCCTTGTTTTGTAGCATGTCTTCTTCGGATATTTAAGTGTTTATCAACTCACACTCTTTCAGTGTAGCGCTCGTTCTATGATAGGAAGTTCGTTGGTTCAAACCTCGACCGCAAATGATCAAAGCCGATTTCAAATACTGCCAAGCGCAAAGTACTTTGAATTAAAAGTTGAGAATTTTTCGGACGAAACCTGAAAAGCATGTCACGCCAGCAATTCGCGCAATCATGATCTCTCACTGCTCAATGGCCCTGATTGCCGAGTAAATGTCTGATTTTAAAGACTTTGCCAGTTTATGATGACTGTCTTGACTTTGTTAATGAAAAAGTTTCAAAGAGGACGTAAAGAACTACGCACGCTAACCCTTGATTCCCGCCTATATTTTACTACATTTAATATAATAGTAATAAAATGATAATTTGGCGATAAAATCTACACGTTTAATGAAACGAACAGTTCAATGGTAATTGATTAATTATTTTAATACCAATACTTAATAGTAAAATATCCCCAAAACCAGCTCATGAAAGAAGGGGGTAGACGGTATTTTGCACTAAAATCGAAAGCATCTCCATATTTTGAAATAGTCTTGAATATGAATCAACGTTTCTTAAATCTTTTCTTGTTTTTTGCATATAAAATAAAAGCTATGTATTAGTAAAATGTAATGTTTTACTTGTAAACCACTTGGAAATTTGCAGAAAAAAAAATAAAATTTTTGTCGGTTTTTTTGTCTATAAACATATCCCCTCCCGTGAAACACAAAAAGCTGTGGTGTGAATTTGTGGAATGACAGTCCATATATCCTGTAAAAATAATTTCCGTTCATTTCTCTAATGAAAATCATTAGTTTTACGAAAATTTTAGAGTTATCTCTCATGGTTTTCCCCAATAATTAATGTTTTATGAAAATGCATATAAAGACCTATATAAATATGAAAAAAGCATTCAAATATATTAACTTTTAAGAAATCGACTTGGAGGTGGTCATGGTCAGGAGAACAATACTATCGTTAGCAGTTCTTAATTAACCCATCAACGTGTTTCAATTCTCTTTCTGAATGTCTAATGGAGACAGTGCTAACCAAATGTTCTTTTATTTCGTCAGCTGAAACATCAAAATCAACACGAAAAACTTCCACTGTCACGATCTTTTTACAATCTATGAGACAAATTGTATGTCTTTAATATTATTGTGCCGATTGAGTATCAACAACTGCATCATATTTTAACCTCTTTCAGACGAAATTTATCTCCTATGACCGCTTCTTTATTCGAATATTGTTTAACGTCCCACTAAAAAATTTTTCACTCATATGAAGACGCCACCACTTGTTGGCTGAGAGCTGCAAATGTTTGTCCTACACTCGACATTTACTGCCATTGAGTGAGTGATCTTTTTCGTGCCAGCTCCACAGCGACTCGGGACCTCGATATAATCCAAAGGACCGGCCTCCCACACTTGGATTCGAACCAGCAACGTAAGGATTTTAAAAGTCCTTACTTGTCTTCGCGACTCTAGAACAGATGCTCTAATCACTACGCCACGCGGGCGGTAAAAGCAATTCTGCCATTTTGCTGCAGCAATTTAAATAACACCGCCGATATATTGCCGCCTCGGCGTTAACCAATACCAATCAAAAAAGCAGGCAAAATCTTTGAAAGGGGAACCAATCAGAATTGTCATCGTTGAGTGGCCAAAAGTATTGAAACAAACAATGTTCAGGCGTCATCATGTTTAGCTCGCTTCAAATTTTGTTTTCAATATTGACGTTCAACGAATTATATTTGGAAAATAAAATTCAGGTGTGAATTAATCGGCGTATAATTTGTTTTCGGGGCTGTTTTTTATTTCATTTTATGTAGATGATTTCCGGTGAGTGTTGTCGAACAAAAAGAGAGAATTTACAACTACATGTATTAGTAAATTAAAGGAGCGCATCGTACTTTTGAACTCAAAGGAAATAAAAAAAACATAGTAAGTGAAGCATTTGGGAATTCATTGAGAATGGTGGGTCGACTTTTGGTGAAATTTCATCTTGAAGGGAAGTGTATAGATCGGAAGCTTTATCATTAAAACAAATCGCCGACAATCTCTTGGAGATAAAAATCAATTTTCAACGGATATGATTCATTGATCGCATATTGTTAAACATCCTTCTCGAGAATTTTTCACTCAGAAGGAGACGCCACCGCCGGTGGAGAGCTGCAAATTTGTCCTATACTCGGCACTCAGGGCCATTGAGCAGAGAGGGATCTTTTTCGTGCCAGCGACTACTGCGACCTCGGTTTATACGGTCTCATCCGAAGGACCGGTCTCCACGTCCCACAATGTGATTCACACCGGTGACGTAAGGATAGACTCCTTACCTCGCGACTCAAGAGCAGACGCTCTAACCACTGCGCCACGTTCAATGGAAATGCGCAAACAAATGTGTCCAGTAGAAATGTTCTACGTAGATTGCATCGGGAAGGATACAGGCGGGGTAAAATCTAGAAAACTCTGACAATATCCAAAACAAACCGACAACGGAGAACACATGAGGCAGCGGCAATAGATACCAGAATTCTGAACAGTCGCAGAAAGTTATATACTCATACAAAATACGGGTAGTTAGGCTAATTATTTTGTGAGTTTATGAGAAAATTGTCCGGAAAATGAAAGCCTTACTGCCTCAATTAACTGATAACACCCATAAACATAAGTTGTTTGTTTTGGGGCTGCATTACCTTCGATGGCTTTTTTTCATCGACTTGCGTCAGTCGCGGCCGAGATTCGAATTCACGACCTCCCGATCACCTTGGTATGTCAAATTACTTGCACTCCTGCGTTGAACCCCAATGTCACTATTTCCGTATTCAAAAGAATACCATCTACATCGGGTGATCACAATGTTACAGATGCATACAATTTTGTGTTTAAACCTCTCCTGCTGGATTAGTGGAAGTTGAAGGAAAAAAAATTCATCTCCTTATTGTCTACTGCAAACTACAGTGGCGTGGCAATGGAGTCGAACTTGCAAGCAGACTCATTCCCTCAACCATCTTCAACCCCATCACTGGCTTTTTCTCGAGTTGTGCTTGTGCACAACAGCCCATGAAATGGAATATCCTGACACCCCTTGAAAATAAATTGTTCCGAGGGTATAGAAGTCAGTGCAGCTGACAAAAGAGGGGTATTGCTGTGAAGTCAGAGGTCGTCGAAGATAGAAGACGACAGACAAACGTAAGAGTAAGGCTAGGGTAGAAATAGAATAAGTGCACCGGCGGTAGGGTATTAGGGGAATTGGAAGGTCAGGAGGTAGTAGATCTTATTAAATCGAGGCGCCTGATTCTCTATATTAATAGGAACATACATCCCTTTAAAGAACCCTATTGTTCAGGAAAACCACGTTAAACAACTTTAAGTGAATACATTGATATTTGGCGTACAGTATTTTATGAACAGAAATGAATTGATCAATATATCAAAAACATACAATGTATACATTACCATGTATACATATACAACTTGTGTTTGCTCATCATTGATATAGATATATTGGTATTTCATTATGGGTTGAAATATATATTTATAATTTATGTATATATACATGTATGTAAATTCATTTCAGCTAAATCAGGAAATTGTTAGTTTCATAGCAAATTCCCATAATCTACTTATTGCAACAATTGCACTAGGGATGGCATGTGACCTAAGACATGTATGGCGTGTGGCCAATGTTGGCCCACCATCCTCAATGGAAGGATTGTAATTCTATGAGTCAGGGTGTATAAAAATTAATATATAGCATCATATTCGAAACTTTTCTTATGATCCACTTCACTCATCTATGTAGTGGTTTACCTTGTCACCTGCATATGGAGTTTATGTCTTTATTGCTGTTCGTATTCCATATATCATTGTAAGAGTAACAAAACCAAAGACCAGCATACACTAGTATGAGTGTATTTACCGATATCCAATTAATACCTATTGTGTAAATTACGTACCAGAGGACCAATGAGAGAAAAGCTGGTTGACAGCACCGCCCACTTCATTCTGTCGAACCATGGTCCGGATTCTGTTTGGTATGGGGACACACCCCTTTGACAACCAGCTGATATCTGTATATCCATGCTATCTCCTCATTTCCAGTGCTCGGGATTCATGGAAAATTCCAGATTTAATAAAGGTACCTTTAACTTCAAACAGTAACTCGATCTTACCTCATGTTAACAAACATCATGGCTGCTAGGTCTGTGTATCAGTTATTACCTCCCCTCGTTTATTATTGAGCGGCAAATTTGAACTTATTTTACATCCACAGTTGTTAAATTATTTTAAGGTGAAACTATAAGAAATGACTCTAATTCTCCGCCAAATTATTCGAGTATTATATTCGCGGATTATAAAGCGTAAACTGACCCAAACCAGGTTATATCGAATAATTTGGCCAAGAATTAGAGTCATTCCTTCATAACCAAAGTTTTCAAATTAACATCATTTATTGATCAGGCAAGGTCTTGTCACATTATGACTTGATGCTAAAGTGTGGGCGTGACTTCAAAATCGTGATTCTTCTGGCAATACACCACAGCAACATCAAAGTAAAATCTGAATTTACCGCCAGTCCTATACTACAAGTCTGATTATAATATAATTTGGTATGCAAGTAGACTACACTGATATACATAATTATCAGTTTTGTATTTTTGATTTTGATGACTGATGTTGCCATGGTAACTCAAATTAAAAATTCTGTTAAAGTTTTATTAAAAGCTACTCTTACAGTTGTAGTTTTATTGCAATCTTAGCACAAAAAGAGACTTAATCAAGGATCTATTCTATTTATTGCTTTTGTAAAGTTTTAAGTCCCAACAGTACTGCTTCTTTCCTCTTCCTTCATTATAAGTACAGTCGGTAGAGCGCTCGC